AGGAGATGAAGAGATTGAAAGAAGAGAGAGTCAGTCTACAGAGAAAGTTAGAGGAGGGGGAGCAGGTGAACTCTGACCTGCAGGAACAGGTCATCCAGCTCACCAAACATGTTAAAGCCATTCCTGAGCTACGCAGAGATCTCAGCAACCTGCAAAATCAGAGAAATAGCATAGACCGAAGGATGAAGCAACACTCGGAACAAGCAAGAGGTACAGACTTTCACTTGTAGACCTTCAGTTACGTAAATGATACACACTTAATAAAGACAGTAGTTTGCTGATGTTGCCTGAATATTTTTCTGCAGCTAAAATGAACGAGATTATGAGACAACTTCTGGGTGGTGTTGTTGAAGAGGAGGTTCTTTTGGGGTAATCCAAATATCTTTGGTTTTCCCTTTCTCTCCCATAGTTGTTCAATCTCTCTCTATAATTTCAAACATTGTTTCTCTGAAGGCTCAGTCCCAAGAACTGTGAGAAGATTTATGAAGTTGAAGATTTGCTGGAAGCCTTCGATGGCCTGCAGAAAGCTACCAGGTCTACTTTTACTGACAACTATAGCGATTCATTCACTTAGTATCACTGTTCATCAGTCCAGTTTTGTACCTTTGTGACAAGCCTGTGTACACTTGTTTGACCTTTTAATGGCAGAATACTGGAAAACCACCAAAGGGAGCAGAAGGAAAGCTATGAGACCCAAGTGGAGGGCTTGAAATTGAAAGTGGACCACCTCCAAAATGAGAACAGCAAGTTGCAAAACCTGTTCCAGGAGAAAAGTAATGTCAATGAGAATATTCGCGAAGAGGTGTCCAGGCTCAGCAGTGAGAACTCAGTGCGTTATTGCATTCTTCAATCCATATTTCATTTCTTGGGGTAGATGAGGTGCAGAACATGCCATGATTTGTGCTTTCCCTTGTTTGATGTGATCCACAGGTTATACCCGAGCTGAAACTGCAGGTTTCAGAGCTGCAGAGACAAAAACAAGAATTAGAGGCCCATGTAGAAGAACAGAGCAGAGAACTAGCAGGTAGATCTGGGAATTTATTTTCCAACTACAAGCTCTTTAGAGATTTGTATTTTATTTGTTCTCATGTTTATCTTTTGTCCCTGTTGTCAAAAGACAAAACTGAGGAGATCACTAACGTTCTTCAAAGGAAAATCAACGAAGAGAGCTCGCAACGCAGGTAAAATACTCACAATGGAGTCCATTTCTTGATTAAAGAAGTGATTTCTGAATCGTCCTGATTTTTCTTGCTTTTTAGGCACCTTGAGGAGAAAGCTGAAGAGCTAGAGGAGTTGAAGAGGGAGCTGCAAGGCCGAGTGGAGGAGCTGGAAGAGGAGAATAATCACTTGAAGAGGCAGCAGCTGATGGAGAGCGAGGTCAAGAGCAAACTGAGACAGGAGACTTCACGGTTAACTGCTGAGAATATGGTGCGCGAGGATAAGTAGAGGGTTACATACAAGTGTGTGAATGCATGTCTCATCTGCATGAAAGACAGCAACAAATTCTGCTTTTCTTTCAGGACTTTGAAGAGCAGCTCGACCAGAAAGACACATTGATAAAGAAACTCCAGAATCAAATAAGGAGCCTTGAAGCATCACAGAAAGGTAGCACTGTGGCTTGTACATGTGCTTTGTGACATAACTCTAACTTCTTCATGTTCATCACTTTAATGTTTCTTACACAGCAAAGCAAACGTCTACGCCTGCCATTCCCAAAGATTATCTTGGCATGTTGGAGTACAAGAGAGAGGATGAACCCAGGCTCATTCAAAACATTATTCTGGGTATTCTTCTTTTGGGTTATTTCTATTAGTCTGAGATAGTCACATTAAAACCATTCATTTTGTGAGTTTGTCTGCCTTCCTGTATCTATATGCTTGGGAAATCATCTGTGGCAGTCTGGGTTTGAGCAGAATACAACAATAACTAGATGAAACTTGCTCCATTCTACTTACAGACCTGAAGCCCAAAGGCGTGGCTGTTAATATGATCCCCAATCTGCCGGCTCACATTCTCTTCATGTGCATCCGCCACGCTGACTACCTGAACGATGAAGCCAAACTCAAGTCTCTTATGAATGCGTCCATTGGTGCTGTCAAAAAGGTCATCATGGTGAGGTTAATTCTCAGTCTGGTAGCTTTTATCTCCACTGTAGATTTGCTAAATAAATAATGAATATAATCCAAAAGCTATTATACATAACCGTATCTAAAATTAGGTTCACTATCTTGTTGGCAGCAGTTTAGTTTACTTTGATAATTTCAGTTTGTGATGTAGATGATCTGAAAAGGATAGCTATAGAACAGCTGGCTAACTTTAAAATTAAAGTAGCACAATTAAAATAAAATGTCACATTTGTAAAGGCTTTAAGTTATGGCTTTTTTTTCATTTCAGAGTCACTTAAAAGACTTTGAGTTGCTTTCATTTTGGCTGTCAAACACGTATCAGCTGCTCAACTGTCTGAAGCAGTACAGCGGAGAGGAGGTCTGTTTTTACCTTGCTTACACTGTCACGGTTTTTGTCTGTCGATAATAACAGACCTATTTGAACATTCCCTTGTTTTGCTTTCTGTTAACAAAAGGAGTTCATGAAACAAAATACTCCTCACCAGAAAAAGAACTGCTTGAAGAATTTTGATTTGTCAGAACACAGACAGATTCTCAGTGACTTGGCCATCCACATCTACCATCAGTTTATCACGGTCATGGAAAAGACTATCGCTCCTGCAATCGGTATTTTACAAAGTTCAGCGTTATCACATGCAGATTTTGATAGTGGCCAACCTTTATAAGCAACCTAAACCGCGCTGCTTTACTTTCCTGTCCAACAGTTCCTGGCATGTTGGAGCATGAGAGTTTACAGGGGATTTCGAGCATGAAGCCGACAGGTTTCAGGAAACGTTCCAACAGCATCTACGAGGACTCTGAGACATACACCATCTCCTCCATCATTCAGCAGCTCACTGACTTCCACTCCACCATGAGCCAGCATGGCATGGAGCAGGGCCTCATCAAACAGGCTGTCAAGCAACTGTTCTTCCTAGTTGGTGCGACCACCCTCAACAACATCATGCTCCGTAAAGATATGTGTTCCTGCAGGAAAGGAATGCAAATCAGGTCTGTGGTTGCTTTAATAAGAATAAGAGTTGTTTTTTTTTTTGTTTTTTTTTTCTGCAGACAAAACGTTATTCACAGCTTCTGTGTTTGTAGGTGCAACATCAGTTACCTGGAGGAATGGCTGAAGGAGAAGGATCTGCAAAGCTCTAATGCTATAGACACTTTGAGGCCGTTGTCTCAGGCCGCCTGGCTTCTGCAAGTCAACAAGTCCACTGATGACGACGCCAAGGAGATCACTGAACAATGTCCTGAACTCAACCCCGTTCAGGTATCTTACTCAAGCCACACATGCAGTATTATTGATATTTAAAAAATCCAGATTATCACTCATGTGAAACAAAACTCACATTCCCATTTGTAGATTGTCAAAATTTTGAACTCCTACACACCATTGATGATTTTGAGAAAAGGGTGACGTCGTCATTTGTCCGCAAAGTCCAGGTGAGCTCTGTTGTTCATTTTCAAATTTGAATTCAATGAGCCTTTCTAATTTAAAATACAGTGCAAAATGCTCATCCAGCTGCCATACTTGTGCTTCATTAAATACGCCAATCTGGTCCTTGTTGCAGTCCTTACTACAAGGTCGTGAAGGGTCCACACAGCTGATGCAGGACTTAGACTATCGTTTCCAGGTCATGTTTCCCTACTGCCCGTCCTCGCAGGCTCTGGAGCTGCTGCAGGTCCCGAGCAGCCTTCATCTGGGTTTCCTAACCAGGATCTGACAACTCCAGCCTTTGACTTTACACTCCTCATAACTGCTTCATAGTCCAGTGGCTTATGATTGTACCTTAATGTATATATAAATATGTAAACATCTTTAATAAACAATGTACTCCAATTTCAGGGCTGTGGATGGTATTATTTTGAAATACAAACATCATGTTCTGGGGCGGCACGGTGGTGCAGTGGTTAGCACTGTCGCCTCACAGCAAGAAGGTCGTGGATTCAAACCCCGGTTGCCCCGGCCTTTCTATGTGGAGTTTGCATGTTCTCCCCGTGTCCGAGTGGGTTCTCTCCGGGTGCTCCGGCTTCCTCCCACCATCCAAAGACTGCAGGCTCTAAAATTGTCCTTATCTGTGAATGTGAGTGGTTGTCTGTCTATGTGTGGCCCTGCGATGGACTGGCGACCTGTCCAGGGTGTACCCGCCTTTCGCCCAGTGTCAGCTCCAGCCCCCCCCGCGACACAGGATAAGCGGTTGATGATGGATGGATGGACATCATGTCCCTCCAACAGGAAAGCCTCTAAAATGTTTATAATTGCTTGGATTTTCATATTTGATTTCAAATATTATTTGAATTACTCAATTAATCCATAAGTCTGTGCACAGAAAATTCACAAATGTGAGAATTAGCTGTTTTTATGTTTTATATCATTGTAAACTGAAATTCATTGGGTTTTGAGCTGCTCAAAAGTAGTCTGATTTAAATAAAGTGTGTCTAAAAATACTGAAAAATTTGCCAATTAAATACCCACCATGTGTATTTTATTTTAACTATAAAATGTAAGCTTCCCCCAGGTTGCTAAAACTCCCAAGACTCTCATGAAAATTCTCATGGCCCTGTTTTAATGTGAAAGGCAAAGTGGAATCAATAAAACTCAACAGTATTTTGAATCATTCACTCAAAACAGAGAATTATATGCAATTTTCGGGTATTTCTTGTAAGATCTATTTTATGTGATGTTATGTTTGCCTCATAGTTGATCCCGTTGAAATAAAATAGAGTGCCATATTTACCTACTGTATTTTTCCATTACAGACAAACAGTAGCCTATTGTGTTTTTGGGCGGAAGTTGAATGCATTATTTAGCGGTAGATTAGCGAGGCCTGTGTGATGCTGAGGATGCAGCCTGCAGCATCACCAGGATGCAGGATCCTCCTCCTCCTCCTCCTCCTCTTCTGGAAACTGGAGGAGCATCTTCTCCCTCTGACGTCATGACAGCAGCATCAGCTGTTAGCTCTGCTTTAAGCCCTTTCGCCGCCGATCGCTGCCTGCACAAAGGAAATATATGAGATCCCCTTTAATCCCTGAAATGGCGACACAGGAGGTACAGCTGAACGAGACTCTGGCCCATCTCAAAACGGAGTCGGAGACGCTGAAGTCGAAGCTGGAGGAGGAGAGAGCGAAGCTGCACGATGTCGAGCGTGAGTGCTGAAAATGGAGAGGCCTTGATTCACCTCTGCGTTTACAGTGCGACGGGACAAATGACAGCAAATGGATCATTACAGCCAAATGTATTTTAGCGAGAGGTCAAATGTTGCCAATTTTACAGGGAAATGAATTTGTGGAAAGTGATTTTTGACCTGACGTTACCTCAGATCTGACAGGATGTTTGTTTGCCTCCTTGTTTTACAGACCGGTGCTTCCATGTGAATTTCTTCCATGTAGCGGTTTTGCCCAATCATGTCTCAGCAATATGGCAATAGTAAAGATGTTACATAAAAAAAATTAAAGGAAAACTACAAACAGTCTATTAATTATTATTAACTTTAATATGTAACGCATTTTATGAGATGCTCACACTAGTTAATGGAGGACATGACAGATTTATTAAAGATTAATTCAATATATTCCTCCATTTAGCGTAAGCTAATCCTTATTACTGCTAGGAATATCAACGGAGGGTGTAGCCTACACAGGATTTAAAGTGTTGTACAATGTGTGTGTGTGTGTGTGTGTGTGTGTGCGTGGTGTGTGTGTGTGCGTTCGCGCGCGCGCGTACATTTGCAGTCCATCAGGTGGCAGAGAAGGTCGAGGGGCTGGGTCAGTTTGTCATGAAGACCCGAAGAACTCTGAAGGGTCATGGCAACAAAGTTCTGTGTATGGACTGGTGTAAGGACAAGAGGAGGATCGTCAGCTCCTCGCAGGTCACAGATGCTCCTGTTTTTCCCATCTCGAAGTTAATTAGAGAACCCAGTTTATAATTGGATAAATGTGGTTTATATTGTATTGATTTCTACTTTCTTGATGCAGGATGGGAAAGTGATTGTGTGGGATGCTTTCACTACCAACAAGGTATCTTATACTTTTTACTCCAATTATCTGACAGCTTTATTTACTTTCTAGATTCAGATCAAAAATACACGTTATAATCAACACATAGATTATGATATTAATATTATATAAAGTTGGCTAAATATTATATAAAGTATATATAAATTAAGTAAAATTATCCCCCTATTTACCAGGTGCAACATTTAAGTAATTTACATATTAACGCACCAGTAATATAAGATATATTAACTAATTAAAAACATGAAAATAGAGTAAAAACGAAACACGCTGAAGACAAGAATATCTAAGGTTAAAAAAAATGTATATAACCCAATATAACAAATCACAAATTTGCCTCAAGTGGCTTTATAATCTGTTCAACAAGCACACAGCACCATATGTCTGTAGACCCACAGTTCAGATAAGGAAAAACTCCCTGAAAAAAAAAACAACTTTTAACAGGCAAAGATTATATGTGTGTATAGCTTCTAAAATACTGTTTAGTTCATATAAACTGGAATGTAGTGTTTTAAAATCTTTTACCTCTTAATGGGAATTTCCCTTTCCCCAATATCATGTAGAAAATCAAAACTACTAGGCATAGCAAATAGGATGGGGAACAGTGGATTTCAATGTCAACAGGATATCCACAATGTGCAGTGATGCAAAACAAGCTGAGTCCAATTTAATGAATGAAAATGATTGAGGATGAAGGGACACCAGATTGACCAGAGGAATGATGATTGGTTTTGGACAAACTGTTAAAACCTTAATGTCTAACAGCCTAAAGCTTACTGCTCTGCCCTAATTTAGCCTAATGCATGTGATTCATCTCACTGTCCTGGCGCAGCTCACACAGCTTTGTCTTTTGATGTTTATTAGGAGCATGCTGTGACAATGCCGTGCACCTGGGTGATGGCCTGCGCCTACGCCCCCTCTGGCTGTGCTGTAGCTTGTGGGTGAGTGTCTTACTAATCGTGACAATCCCAATGTGGCGTGACATCTGTTTGCTTTTCAGTTTTCTTTTTTGGCAAACTGGGGTTATTTTCTGTCACAGGGGCCTGGACAACAAATGCTCAGTGTATCCTCTGTCTCTGGACAAGAATGAGAACTTGGCTGCCAAGAAGAAGTCAGTGGCCATGCACACAAACTACTTGTCCGCCTGTAGCTTCACCAACTCTGATATGCAGGTGAGAATATCCAGCATATACAAATAACATCCACAAATTGACAAAACAAAATGAGTAAAATGTTAGTAGAGATGGTAGTTGAGTGTTTTTCCCAACTATTTTAATGACAGTTTTTCTGCAAACCAGGGCTGTTTTTGTATTCATCCCGGCTTCTCTCTCATTATTAATCAGAAATCACTGCCTTCCATATTCCTGTGAAAGGAGCTTCCTCACATTGTTAATAATTCACAGCAGCCAGGCGTTGCTGGTTTGGTATCCTGGTCACATGATTTTTCAGACAGCGAAGACAATCCATTTATAGCTGAGTGTTAACCTATATAGACTTTTACTGAACTTCAGAGCAGACGTTGTTCTTCCTTCTCATTTTCTGCTTGTGTTAAAGATCCTGACATCCAGCGGTGATGGAACGTGTGCATTATGGGATGTTGAGAGTGGGCAGCTGTTGCAGAGTTTCCATGGTCACGCAGCAGACGTGCTCTGTCTGGACCTGGCCCCCTCTGAGACTGGAAACACGTTTGTTTCAGGGGTGAGGACGCCTCTTCCTCCTCCGCTTTCACTACAGCCCATGTCTATTTAAACATCACTGAAGTATTTCAAATATTGTGCATTATTGTGTATTGTTGCAGGGCTGTGATAAGAAGGCCAACGTGTGGGACATGCGTTCAGGACAGTGTATTCAGTCCTTTGAAACTCATGAATCAGACATAAATAGTGTGCGGTAAGTGATCAAGTAGCTCTGTCAATATTGAGTTCTGATGTAAGTGTAAGATAAGCATAGTCTTTTAATTTATCATTCAGTGAGAAAAGTGCTGATGATTTAAATTTGCTATGTTTTTTTTGTGTTATAACATCTTTCAAATTATTCTGAAGGCCCATTTTTTTGCTTGTAGAAAAACATGTGAGAACTGGTGCAATCTACTTTTTTCTTTTAGCCCATTCTCAGCCACAGTTTTCTTTTCATGCTACCACTAGGAGGCGCTAAAAGACAGCTGTATTCAAATCTGACACATAAAGGCTTTAAGAGAGTAATTTGTTCCCAACTGTGGCTCTGTTTTATTTTATAGATACTATCCCAGTGGAGATGCATTTGCATCTGGCTCAGATGATGCTACAGTAAGTAATCTGATATTTACCACACAAAATGCAAGTGGAAGCATGTTGAACATTTTCTTCAAAACTCAAACACTGACCTTTATTACAGTGCCGCCTGTATGACTTAAGGGCAGACAGAGAAGTGGCTATTTATTCCAAAGAGAGCATCATATTTGGGGTCTCCAGTGTTGATTTCTCTCTCAGTGGTAAGAAATTCACACTTTGTCACCTTCAGTATTATTCAGGTGGTTCCAACAAAGAGCAGTTAATGTCCAAACAGCTAAAAATAATTTATTTTGTATATTAGAGTTACGCTATAAAAGCATTTATGTATTTTTTAATCCTTCAGGGCGGCTACTCTTTGGCGGCTACAATGACTACACCATAAATGTTTGGGATGTTCTCAAAGGAACACGGGTCTCCATTCTGTTTGGACACGAGAACCGTGTCAGTACACTGCGTGTTTCCCCAGACGGGACGGCCTTCAGCACAGGTTCCTGGGACCACACTCTTCGGGTATGAGATTATTATTGTCTGATCTGATGTCTTTTCAGTCTACAGTGACCTTTTTTGGTGATATCTTGTAATATCTGCTGTTTCCTTTTTTCCAGATCTGGGCTTAAGGATGATGACACAGAGGTTTAAATGGTAGACAGACTTACTAAAGACACACCAATGTTTCTGTTTGCTAGAGTACAATCACCGAGATAGACTCAGTTTTGGTTGTACATAGGGCATATCAATAGCACTGTATATACTCCAGTCTGATGGCCAGGGTAGATTTACATATTCAAGAGAGTAATTAAACCAAATGGCACGCTTGTATTACTGAATTATTGAAAGAAAACTTCACAGAAGTAGGCTACTTATGGTTACAACTAAATATGTAAAATGTATATTGCAGAAAATAACATTGGTGCTGACTAGCATCAGTCTAGGATAGAAGTGACAAAGTGATGTATTGATATATGGTGACATAAAGGACTTAATTTATTTGTTTTTTTGCACAAAAAGTAAAGGAAGAATGCAGTCTGTGGAAATAAATGGGATACAAGGAAACAAAACACAAATGCAGGAGAAGCAGTAAGGTTTAAGACTGAAAAAAGAGAAAGGTAACATTGGGTTTTGTTGCTTCTCTGTCAATGAGCAATGTTGGAATATGGGGTATAGTGAGGAAGATTAGATTGGCTTGTAGAAATTAATCAATATCAGTTAGTCTGCCAATAAAGGAGCATAGGCATAAAATGTTAGGTACAATTTGTAGTTGGTGAAACATTTTTAATTGTGTGCCCAACAAGCCTTGTTCATTCTTGACAGCAACTCTCCTGCCAATATTATTCTAATGAAAAAAAGCAGGTAAACCTGAAAAACATGAGGTTGATTTTCCATATATGTTTTTAAAATATGGTTGACCTTTAATCTCTAAAGCTGATGGTACACAGAGCAACTTTTAGAGCAATCTTGCAGGGCAACGTTGCCATCAATGGTAATGAGTAAAGATTACTACCGTAATCCCCGCCGCTATCCGTTCAAAACAACGGACTTGCTACAATGTTGCTGGGCAATCTTGCCCAGCAACATTGCTCAAAAAGTTGCCACGTGTATCATCAGCTTAATTGTTTTCAGTTGTGAAAGCTACTTTCTGTTCTATATGCACATTCATTCCCTACTGACATCCTGAACCTGTGGTCCCCCACTAGATATCCAAACATTAATATATAAAAAAACATCTTTAAATTCTTAGAATGTACTCCTTTATTGCGGTTGTTCAATGGCTGTAATTTCATATTTAATGTAATTATGTTAATGTAGTTTAGTGTACAGTTATACAAGGGACTGTTTATCAAAGTATTACAAACATAATAAACTGAATTTTGAATATCATTGCTTTCTCATTGTTGTTCTTTACCTTATCTGATTGTTTTACAATTACTTTCTTGTCAATCTTCTGCAGTATTCAGACCAGGCAGCCGCTGTTTTTGTTTAAGGTTTCTAATAAAGTTTCCAAAATACAAACGGAAGTGACATCATCAAGTCTGTCGAATCAAAACAATGGCCGCTGGCAAGCTTGCATTTTACCTCTTGTGAACCTTTTTTAATGCTTAACAGGTAGCTTTCACTGATTCTCTGTAAGGAACTCTTACTGGGATGGATAGTTGATTAAATAAGTATATTTTGAAAGAAAAAAGCCAGCTGCCAAGTGCTGCTTTTCGCTGCCAAAATGAGCGATGTTGTGGAGAAGACCCTGACAGCTCTGCCGAGCCTCCTGTCCTTAGACTCTCAGCCTGGATCTGCAAAACTGTCCTCCACCTCAAAACTAGGAAACCTCATCAGAGGGATCACTGAGCTGACGTCCAAACATGTGAGTATCTCCTTAAAAACTGGAACTTAGCTGAAATAAGATGGGTCAGTTGTTCATGGTTTGGTAGCTTGCTAAGTTGACTAAGCTAAATTAAATAAAGGTGTTTTTGTGTGTTGTTTGACCCTCTTGCTATGTGCTAAGTATCCAGTACAGTACTGTGCTAAGTTTAAGATTGATTTACATTCACCTTCTCATTTCTGTTGTGTTAATATGTAATACAGGTGTAATAATTCCAATAATAAAGGTGAAAGCTGGGACTTTTTTTTTAAAACGTGTCCTTGTTGATGCGTTCATGAGCTTGTGATAAGCTCAGACATTCGAGATGTTAAGAGTCAGCTCCCAGTATGCTTTGGATTCATAAACTGTGTTGCAAACAAGTTAAACCTGGAAGGCAAATTATGTTGTAATTGTTGCTTCTGTTCTTTGGCCAATTTTCAAGTCTGTCATATCCAACAAACACGTGAATGCACCATCAGAAAGGGTTTACAGCAAAAAGAAATACATTTAGATATTCACATTCTTTTGGGCAATACAAATTATATAGTATATAATCTTTAATCTATATATGTAAGCAACTAAACTTTATTTGTATAGAGCTTTTCACAGACATAAATCACAAAGTACGTCACAAAAACATTAATATTCAAGAACGAAAACACATAAGATAAAATGACCACCTGTACCTTGTGAAGTGGAAGTGAGCTAAAAACAAATATAAATACACAATACATACAATACCAGTAATAAAAATATAAAATACATTAATACATAATGAGTACACACCATACCTAATAAAATACTTTATAAGTAAACAGTAACAGTATGTGGTAAAAGCATAAAATAAATACATAGTACGTAATAAAATACACAAATAAATACTTGGATGCGGACCTGGTGCGTACCGTTTACCCAAATACCTGTCTAAACAGGTATGACTGTAGCTGCCTTTGGAAAACGTGCACAGAATCAGCAGACCGTGAGGGTCTCAAAAGCACGATCACCACGGGTCTTTAAGGCGAGTGAGCGGGACAGACAGCATGTTTTGGTTAATAGACCCAAGAGAGCGAGCTGATGAATAAGGGCGTAGAAGTTCAACAACACATGCAGGAGCCTAACTGTACAGTGCTCTGTAAGTAATGGTGAGAATTTTGATATGTGATAGGGAGCCAGTCAAGAGGTCTCAGTATCGAGTCATGTGAGATTGTCTGTTTGTCCTAGAGAGTATCCTTGCAGCAGCATTCTGGATTACCTGCAGACGATCACAGGCATACATGCGTAATGATGGGAACAGTGAATTACAGTAGTCTATGCAAGATTAAATAAATGTGTATACAAGCATCTCTAGTTGAGCCTTCCAATCTCAGTTTGCTGATAGTTCATATATCAAAAGGTGTAAATAAAGAAAGAAGATCTGGATATCTAACAACATATTAAGAAGAACTCAATTGAAACGGTAATTGTGACAATCATATTAAATGGGTGTGAAATGCGGAAGTAAATGTCTTTCAAAATAAGTGCCTTAGACAAATCCTACAAGATTCTACATTGGAAAGAGTACCGAGGAATTGACTGAAGCATGCGTGGCATGAAACCAGAGTGAGTGCAGAATTGAGATGGCGGACATGGAAGATGACTGGGCAAATACTTCGACAGGATTGAGACAACCACAACAACAAGGGGATGACTTGGACACCAGAAGGGAGAAGTAATAGAGGAAGACCAAAAACCACGTGGAGACGTACAGTGTAGAAAGAGCAGAAAGAGGCGGGTTGGAATTCATGGTACGAAGCACGAATGATTGCAGCAGAAAAGAAGAGATGGAGAGAATCTGTGGAGGACTTATGTGCCACAAAGCACGGAGGAGAAAGATGATTAAGACTATAAACGCCTCTCTTTTTTTGAAATAATCGGTGAAATAAGTACCTGGACACACACTTCTCTGTAAGATCTTGATATGTAGTTCAGGGGCTGAAAATGGTCTGCAAACAAAAAAACATGGTAGTGCCAACCTTAGCAGGTGTTTTCTCACTGTTTAATGTTATTAACTTTCAAATGTGTTTCCCCTTTTCAGGAGGAAGAAAAACTTATTCAACGTGAACTAGCAGCTATCAAAGAACAAGTGTCCTCCCCGAACACCTCCATGGTACGATTGTCCTTATTTTCCCAATTTGGTCTTGCACAAGAAACCAGATATTTCAAATAGGTCCAGTTATGTCTGAAATTACTGATGTGTTTATTTCTTCCTTGTCTCATAATCTGATTCAGAGGCAGATGAAGGAACTCATGGTGAGAGCCATCTACTGTGAAATGCTCGGCTACGAGGCTTCGTTCAGCTACATTCATGCCATTAAACTGGCTCAACAAGGCACTGCTCTGGAGAAAAGAGTTGGTATGTACTTTACGTAATGAGCTGCAAAGCTTCCCTCAGCATCCTTAACCCTCTGCAGTACTTGGTCTCATGAGAGTGTTGTAGTACTCGAGACCGGTCTTAAGACCACTTTTTGATGGTCTTGGTCTCGTCTCGGACTCGACCTCATTGGTACTCGGTCTTGTCTCTGTCTCGGACATTGGGGACATTGGAGATTTTATTTCAAGACCATAACTTTGGGAATATCAATAAATTGCTTTTGCATTGTCTGACTTATTTTTTAACATCCTAACTTTGATTGGATGTAAAACGCATTGCTTCAAATGCAACCAATAACCCTAATTAAAAATGTGTTGTTACCATTAATGACTCTCACCCCTCCCCGTGATGGTAAGCATGGAAAAGAGTGTCGAATGTATGTGGGTGTTTTAATGGGAACGTGGATCTTTCCGATCAATTTGAGAAGTACCTATGATCTCGTTCCACATTTTATTGTGTGTCATGTATTGTGGGGAACTGGTCTTGGTCTCAACTTGGTCACAGCCCCTAAAAGTCTTGGTCTTGTCTCGGTCTTGATAAACTCTGGTCTTGGTCTTGACTGATAGTGATAGTCTTGGTTTGGGCGGTCTTGACTTCAACACTATGATAAACACAAGGTGCATGATTGAACCTGAGTTTTTTGAGCTTTTAAAGTAGGGATTTTTTTTCCATCACAGCAACTTCATTGACCTGAGCTATGAAACAACTGCACTGTGTCTTCCTAAAAATATGTTTGTGTGTGATTTGCAGGTTATCTGGCTGTGTCTTTGTTTCTGAACGAAAGTCACGAGCTGCTTCTTCTCCTTGTGAACACTGTATTAAAGGTGGGTGTTATGTTTTTACAGCATTTATCATCAGGGACAGAAAACTGTCCTTACTGCTTGTCCTATCTTAATTTTCAAACATGGGAAGAACCTTCATATGACAGAAGCAGTTCATAAACACGTGGTTGTGTCCTGTCCTATCTCAGAACTCGTGTCTTAACTTAAGAAATCCTAACTAGCTATGTCTGTGTTTAGAGCGTACACGAGACTGCCTGTATCCTTGAAAACAGCTGCCTCCTTTTGCTAATCACTAGCTAGCTAGCTTGCTATAATGGAAAAGACAGATGTTTAATTTTAGCGCAGAGTCAGAGGCATTATCGTGTCAGTGGAGGAGAGGAAACCCCCGCCTTTTTGGAAAGTTGTCTTCCAAATTATCGGCCATGGAAAAAGATTTGAATGGATCATATTCAATATTAATCATCTTGGCAGATGATACATACCCATTAAAACATTGTCCAGGAAAAAATTAAAGTGTCATCATATGGTTTGAGTTTCTAAATGCGGTTAGGAAACATGCTTCTACAAAACCAAAATCCTAAATGTCATCCTAAACTGAGAAAAGATAGGATTTCAGACTTTTCTGTAATGAGGCCCATGGTGTCTGAAAAAGGGATGTTGTTAGGATATATTTTATGTTTTCAGGATCTTCAGAGCACAAACCTTATTGAAGTGTGCATGGCTCTAACTGTCGTCAGCCAGATGTTCCCCAAAGATATGATTCCTGCAATCCTTCCTCTGGTCGAGGAGAAACTTAATCACCCAAAGTAAGAAATGCTCTTTGCCTGTTCATTCTGATTATTTACCTATATGCATTCAAGTGTATTTATTCAGATAAGCCTGGAGAATCTGCTAGAATATTATGAAGAGTTTCTCCTAACATATTTGTAGAGAAATCATTCGACGAAAAGCAGTCCTGGCACTGTATAAATTCTACCTAATAGCACCGAATCAAGTTCAACACATCCACAACAAGTTCCGCAAAGCTCTGTGTGACAAGGATCCTGGTGTCATGACGGCTTCACTGCACATCTACTTACAGATGATCCAGGTAATTTGAGGTTACAGCTTCACCACAACGTTAACTGTGTTTATTGAGAAAACATTTTACAGAGATCTTGGTTTGAACTTCTGTGGTGGAATCCGGTCATGTCACATATTTTGCTTTGGTTACAGGAGAATCCAGAAGGTTATAAGGACCTTACAGCAAGTTTTGTCACCATACTAAAGCAAGTGGTGGGGGGAAAACTGGCCATGGATTTTAACTATCATAGTGTTCCCGCTCCATGGCTGC